TTTCTCCAGGAAGATTCAGCAGAACAGTGAAACACATTCAGGCTCATAGCTTTCAAACTCCTTCATTGCAGCTTCTTGTTTACACATCATGCTATCTAAAGAACAACATAGTTTCACCTGGAGCACGCTCTGTAAAATATCCTTATTACGAAGTAATAGTACCTGTTGAGTTCATACATAGAAATAAGAAGTTTAACTTAATTTAAGAACCCGGTAGGCTATGAGTTTATATTAAAGAGTTTAATACTGAAAAAGTAAATATTTGAAGTAATATCTCTATCAAAAGTAAAAAAAAAAACATACTAAGTTGTGACTCCATTTCCTAATGAGCTCAGAAACCTGTGACTAATCTAATCATATATTCATTTCCAAAGTTACGACAATGTTCAAATGTTTATTATAGAAATTTTTTTTTTAACTATAGATATGTAGTAATAAAAAGACATATCTGGAAATGATGCTTAACTGCTTCACAGCTGAATGTAGTATTAAAAACAAAATAAATATAAACTCAGTCCTAATTTAAAACTTGATACAATAAATTTGTTTCTGGCAAACTGAAAATATATCACTACAGCAAGAAATGTGCAGTAAATACTTGAAACAGCAGTTTTTTTCAGGGATCTTTCTTTTATTTAAGAATTAAATAAGATGAGTTTAATTTAGCTCTAACCCATAGGAAATAAATTTTAGAAAGCTACTAGCTTTGTGAACATCTCCAATCAAATGAAAGCCAACAGAATGCCGCTCCAGTTAAAATTTTATTTGTTGTGTTGCTAGTACATACTCTCTCTAAGCAGTGGCTATCCTACATGAAATCTAATTGAGCTTAGCTACAAACCAACAAGATGAGGACTAAGAAAACAGTTACAGTGCACACACAAAAACTGTGAGACCTAGACCAAATTACTAGAGGTAAAGTCTATTCACTTAGTAATTTTGTTCAGCTTATGCTCCTGCATGTGGTACAAAACAGTCAGGCAATCTAGAAACTCAGCATTGGACCTTCCAAATAAAATATGTTATGTGTTAACCAATCCCAACATCCTTACTTTGACTGTTAGTTCAGGTGTTGAGATGACCTCTTACCTAATATGAGTGTAAAACATATTAACTATATCGGATTAGGTGGTTTAAATGCTATGCATAATTTCCTCCGTGTTTAAGAAATACATTGAGAATCTTAAAAAATTATGTACTGTAGCTAGGTATAACAATCTCACACAGACTCCTTGATTTACTTGTTAATTAGTTGATATGAGTTATATCTTCCATGCCTGAGCTCTCTGTTGCATTCACTGCCTCAAACCAAAACAGTTCAGAGAAGGCAGCCAGATTTCACAGGACTGGTTAGCTGAGACAGACTGTGCTGGCTGACTTCCACGGAGTCCATCTGGAACTGAGTACAGAATACAAGTTGGGTTCCCAAGCCTAGAGTAAAAGTGAAGAGATGCTGCTTAGTTTTGCCATCTAACTGGCTGGGAAAGGTAGTTGGTATAATTTAAGATAGTATAGAAATCCTGGTTACTTTATACTACCAAATTAGGTAGTATAAACCAAAGTATAAATTTGCCTCTAAACAGCTTTTATTGTATTATTTGGAACATCTAGAAGTGTTATGAAAGGAATTATTTAGTAGAGATGACCTTGCAAATCAAAAACTGTGAACTCTCTGCTCAGCTATGTAGCTTTAATACTGAAATTATCCTACTGAGAGAACTCTTTTTTTTTTTTTTAGTAGTAATTTATTAATTACTGAATAATAACAAGACAGAAAATACAGCAATCCATTGATGAATCACCGCTTAGTGAATTTCAGAGGAAAAATACAGACCTGAACTCTCATTAGGAATAAAATAATTTTTACCTTTATGACATTGAATTCCCAAGTTACCTAAAAGACTGGCATACAACAAATTTATTTTCCCTGAAATGGCATTATAACACACAGTATGCATATGAGAGACTTTAGCAGAAATAAAATTAAAATTTTCAGCATCTTTGAAATAGCATTTTTGTACAGTGAGAAAGATTACACAACAGACTAGCTGATTGGCTAGTGATGCTTTGGTGATGCTTTGCTTAACAACTTAGCAACTTTTAATTCAACTTATAAAAGGAAGACAAAAATCTCAGAGAAAAATGACATTCCTACAAACATTATTTCAGCCAGAGGTGAGCATCAAATCAATTATATTAGTCAAAGTTGAACAACTGAAGTTCAACTATTACTAGTTGTTTTGGAATATATTCTGCTTGCTTACCACGTGGAAGGCAAACTATAGTCAGGGAACCCAAACTTCTAATGAGGAAACCAAAGCAGGAGAATGAACTATGTGATTCCAAATTACTGGAGCCCATACTCAATTAACAGCAATGAGGGAATGTGGGAAACAATCCTGAATTTGGTGTAACTACCTACCTCAAGAACAGTAGATGCAGGCCCTGATTCAGATGCACACAGTTTAGGGAAATACTAAGTTATTTCAACTATAGGTTTCATAGACTAACAGCAAGCTTCAGTGTAACTTTCATCATTTTTTGGAACTGCACATAATCTTGTGCAGGTATAATGGGTATTTGTATATTTGGAGCATTGTTTTAAATGCTAAGTAACTAGGGAAGGAGAAATACTAAGCAGGCATGATTAGCAAAATTAAGCATGAGAACTATTTATAACTGTTGTGGGTGGGGTTTTTTTTTTTGCATTAACAGATCTAAAATTCTGTATTACAATAAGATACAGTTTAATAATCTAAAGCTTTAAATAATGAAACTTAAACTTTATTACATACTACAGCTTTACAGTATTACGTAGTAACATTACTCTTGGGATAAAAAGAACATCTCTAATCCAGCTTTTAAGAAATCTGAATTCAAGCAAACAACACTTGGAGAAAACTTATTTACATTCCTTCTTTTACTTCTTTTTTTTTTTTTTTCCCAAGACTTATTTTTTGTATTTAATCTCTCTGCTCCCCACAACTCTACAAGCTACCTTAGTAATTTCATCACAACAGAAAACCCACATCTAGACTAGAATTTTCTCAATGGAAAAAAAGGTGAATCCTTATTGTCTTCTTCCAAATATAATCTCTCTTATTTAGTCTTTGTTTCAGGTAAGTAATAGCTTTACAAAAAAGTCTGAACAAAAAATTCAGGGGAGAAAATGGATTAGAAAGTAAGAGCTGATGCACTGCTTTTTCACATTCACATCAATATTCTAGAATAAGGCTGTATTTTATAAAAAACTGTTCAGCTGAGTTATTAAAAAAATTACTCTGTATTGCCCAGAGCAATTTTCTGCATGGCAGTTTGGGTCTAGTTAGCCTATTTTATAAAAAGTACTGCTGACATGACATAGAAATTGAGCAAAATGAAGCCTTTACCAGGACAAACTGAGAACAAAGGAATTACTCCATGTTTGGAATATAAAATTTGAAAGTAGACAGACTTGACAAATAGAAATTTATTTCACAATAACAAATGCTTTGAATCCATGATTTATGAAGGCAGCTGTGGGAGTCACTTATTCAAATTTGTTGTTTAGCACACTGGCAGATATTACCTAATTATTAGAATGTGCAAGAGAGCACATTTTTTTCAATAGATGTGTTATACCATTAAGCATCTTGTACTTCAGCAGCTATCAAATTTATAATGATGTATTTTATATAGTTCTGTTTAGCATTGCAAGCATTAACTTAATATGCTATAAAAGCCTGTAGGTAAAAATTATATGTTATGACACAAAACCTCAGACCCATCTACAGTGCTACACTTAACAAGCATTCCAGCCTATGATGAATACAAATCAAATATTGCTATGCGTAAGAGAAGCTGCAGTTCAAGTTCCTTCTGTCAGCCATCTCTGACTAAGAAAACAAACAAAACCCACAGTCAAGAACCAAAAACTTACATGACTGCAAAAAGCAATGAAGTTCAAAATGACCAGTACATTCAAGATTATACAGAAATCTTGATTATACAGTAAATCTTACTGCAACTGCATAATTCTAATATGAGAGAAGTAAACATAGGATTACAATACATTAAGAACGCACAAACTAAATTTCCAACCACACAAATCTTTGAAGTTGCACTCGAAGTGATGGTTAGATTTTCAAGTTAGACTGTAGTATATGCTCAGCAGTTTGAAAAGAAATGCCATTAATTTAGGCAAGGTTGGTGAAAAGTAAAACCTAAGATAGCTCACTATTCAGAAGAAGATTTGCCGATTAAAACATTAAATACCGATGAAAACAACTGTATGGGGCTCACATAGCCATATTTTGTTAGTAGGGGGCTGCAGGGACACGTATATGAGCAGTGCTCAGCAGCTGTCCTGTGTCAGATATGAGCTATATCCCAACAGCTCCAAAACAAGACCCACCACTGCCAGAGTTGAATCCATCAGCAAGACTCACTGTATCTCTGGGAGAGCAGATGTAAGAGAAGGATGTAAGAGAAGGAGTTGTGAAACAACAGCTGAGAAAGAAGAGTGAGAAATATAAGAGAAGTAGCCTTGCAGCTTGCAAGGTCAGTGCAGAAATAAGGTAAGAGGTGCTCCAGGCATGAAGCAGAAGTTTCCTGCAGGGCAGGAGAAGTCTTGGTGGAGCAGACTATCCATGAGCACCACACACAGAAGGTCTTCATGTGCAGCCATGAAGGAACCCATGATGCATGCAGCAGTGGATGTGTCTGAGAGGAGGCTGCAGCCCACAGACAGCCATGCAGGTGCAGCCCTGTGCTGGAGCTGCAGCCTGGGGAGAGGAGCCTTTGGGGGGGCAGGAGGGCTGAGGGAGCTGCCACATTTGGGGACCTGCGCTAGAACAGTCTGCTCCTGATGGATGGGCCCCTGAGGCATGGAACCACCTTGGAGCAGAACTTGGAGGGCTGCAGCCTGTGAGAAACTCACGAGACCAGTTTGGGAAGGATGGGACTCCACATGAAGCAGAGGCAGAGTGACCGACCATGGAAGAGCAGCATTATGGACTGACCACAGCCCCCTTCCCTGTTCCCTGCATCACTTGGAGTGAGAAGGTAGAAAAGGTTGGAGGCATTTTTAGTTGGCTTCTAATTCTCACTGCGCTAGTTTGTTAGAAACATGCAAAAAACAACATTCAGCTTCTACGTTTAGTCTGTTTTGCCTGTGACAGTAATTGGTGATATCCCTGTCCTTATCTCAACTCATGAGCCCTTTTTCTTCCTCTGTTCTTTTGAGGATGGATACTGAGAGAGACAGCTCAACTCCATCACACTACTATCAGTATGAAACCACTACCACAAAACATTTGTTGTAATAGCATTTGTATGTTAAATGTAAAAGAGCTATGATGCCTGAAAGAGGTAGAAGAAGAAAGTCAAAAAAGAGAGATCAACATCTCATCTGACAGGGCCATTGAGAATAGGCCAAAACAAACAAACAAACAAACAAACAAACAAACAAACAATAACAAAAAAGCAGAACAAAAAAGCTAAACAAGCAAATAAAAATCCACAAGATTAATTGCTCACATGAATTTCTGAAAAGCTGATATACCATGAAGGAGATGGTAAAGTAAATCCAGGGAGGTGTTACGGGTCAGTGATGTTACGGGTTTAAATGCAAAGTACCACTTTAAAAAAAATGAATTAGAAGAGATGGAAATAGCACAAAGAAACCATAAGAAGGTGAGAGAATATTACAGTGAAACATAAACAGAAATAAAATACAAAATAGAGCACATACAAAACTGTTCTCCCAATTAAAAAAAAAAGAAATAGAGAAAAGTTCAAGGTCTGAAAAGCATTTCTATCGATTTCCTCAGGCTAAATGACAGGAAAAAGATGCTTTCAATCTGTGCAGCCTACATATCTGGATAAAATTGACATACCTCCCAAGAAAGTGTACGAATTAAAGAATATCCTTTCAATGCTTTGTATTTGAGAAAAGAATTTCTTTTCTGAACTTTGTTTATTATAAAAATAAAACAAGAAATATTAATTTAACATTAAGAAAAAAATGTGAGGCCAAATATATTCTGTCAATTTTGTATATAAAATACAAAAATTAGAAATTAGAACTTTTTTGTACCTCTCTGGGGGCAGAACTCATTTGGTGACACTTAGTAGTGGTGAACATGGGTACTACATATCGAATCTGGCATTACACTGAATAATCTGCTGCCATGAAATTTGCAAATGACATCTGCAGATTTAGGAACAATGTGATATGCTCTTTAGAAAGGTAAAAAAAATAATAATTGTATTACCTATGAAATGCTGTAACTTATGAAAAATAAAAGCCTAGAAGTCTTTGAGAGAATCTTTTCAGTAACTGTGAGTATAGGTACATTTCATCACATGAAGAACCACAAGCAAAGGACAACAGCTTTCACACATCAAAAATAAAAATTTATACTCAGCAAATTAAGGCAGAAATAACTACTCAGATGAAAGGAGAATAACAGTTGAAGGTACTATAGAGAAGGGAAAAACTGTGTATAGTTTTTAATCACATATCATATATAAATTTTTTAATGAAAATTAACGTACAAAAACAGTCTAACAAGCTGATCAAGGATCTAGAAACCTCATCACTCAGATCTATGGGAAACTTCTTTAGTAGCTGAACCTGAATCAAGGCTGAACACTACCCTCAACCTGCTGCACTTCTCTAAATTTAATTAATTCACTAATTTACTGCTGAGACAAGCAAATTCTAATGTTGTGTTTCTTACCTTCTCTAAATGAATTACACCAAAACTCAAGTCAACAACTCCCCAAACCCCCAGTATTGTATCAGTTTTCAAAACTGATCTATGCGGGCAAATACTTTAACTTAAAAACATAAACACAGTCCAAAGACCATTTCTCCAGACATCCCATCACTTTGACAAACAGCTTGTTCCCAGTGTTAGAGGAGCTACTGTTGGCTGCATAATGAATTTTGTCTCCTTTAAAGTCTTTGGACCTTCAGGATTCTTCTCAGTTCTTAAAAACTAATTAGCAATTCTTTTAGCACAAGAGGCAGTTTCTGAAAATATCTTTTAAATAAAAGGAAAACGAAAGAAAGTTTTTGCCATCTAGTTGATACGCAGTACACAATGAATTCTAAAGCTCCAATTACAAAACCTCGCAATGACAGCAGAATTCCAGTGCTGTGCTATTTGTAAAAGTGCACAGAGGTTTCTTCTGTGTACAGAAAATAATAATATGAAATGTTGATTTGAAAGAAGTCATAGGTGTTTTGCTATGTTTCAAGAGAACCAATATTTCACACTAACAGTTTACTGGACACAGAACTGCAAAACGTCAAATATTTAGAAATATACACAGTATGCAATAAGCCATGTAGTTGCATGTTACAAACTATTAAGTAATTCTTCACTCTGAATTAAAGAATTTTATTTTAACATTTATTTCTATGTAATATTTAACTGAGCGTCAGAAGACTAAATAGGATACTAGAAGAGAAAAGCACACTGAAATCCGGGTACCTTTCAATAATACCAAAGAACAGGTTCTGCAAACAAGTTTAAGTTAGAGGCTGAGCAAGAGACTGATAAGTAAAGCACTGATTTTTACTGTAATACCCACCTCGACAACGAAAAGAACTGTGATGGCTAGAAGCTACTATGTGTAATGTATGTGCTCATTCTTCTCAATGATTCCAATCACACATCAAGATGAGAACAGCCAGTACTATCTCTCTACTATTTCTCAATTTATTTTTTTTTTAAATGATCAAGTAATTAAAATGTTTTCGTGGCTATACTTCCAGCATTTTCATATTTTCTGAAGTACATACACTTGAATTATTTGCAGTTAATTTTCAACTATTTCCTAACTCATGCTTTTATTTTATTAAAAGATGTGAACAAAGGCAATAACAACTTTGCACCTGATAGTTTAGATAAAACCTATTAATGACATTACAGCTTAATATCATCTTGGTTGTGATCTAGAATGGTCTCTTTGAATCCCTCTGAGAAACTGTCGCCCAAGCAGTATTCCTGGTTTTAGGCAGTCTATCTTGAAACTACCATTTTGAACAGGTTTTCTAGCTGTAAGTTTGTGCAGCAGTTTTTTGAAAGTTGTAAATTTTAAATATCTGTAATAGCCTGAAGCAAGGAGTTTCACAGCTTTCTAATTAATGTGTAGAACTACATTTTTTGAAGACATTGCCTTCAAATTTAATCAGAATAAACTGAAAATTCATCCTACTTTCCATGTCATTATTTAACAGACCTCACTCAGATCTGCATGTCATTTGCTTTCCTAGTTTGCCATTATCATTCCACCTACAGAAGCACTTCCATAGTTAAGCTGATCCTGCGTTCTTTCCTGAGCTTTTTCTGGAATGTATTTAAACCGTGCATGAAGCACAGAATTTACAGTAGACTGTCCTTATAATTCTAAAAACTGTTCACTCTTTTGACTACTGCATTTTTTAAAGTTATTTTGATTTGGCTTTTACAAAAGATCTTACTCCTGAATAGTCTGCTAAGAGCCGATTGTTTTACAGGCATTTAATAGCAAAAATGTTCAAGTGTTTTTTCCATTCAAATCATTTCATGGTTATTTCTAACAAAGCAGTACAATGGCAGAAAACACCCTTTCACAGTTCTTCTGCAGGATACAATTGCTTACCACCTGCTGGCTGAGGCCCAGCCAGCTCCTAGGCAGTACTTCCCAACCCCCAGCCAACACCCCACTGTTCTATAGTTTTTTTGCACGGTGCCACAGGGCATGGGATCTCCCTTTTGGCCAATTTAGGTCAACTGTCCTGGTTCAGTCTCCTCCAAGCTCCTTGTAGAACTGTGCAAGACAGGGGTCTGCAGGAGTACAAGCTGAGAACCTGAAATGTCCTTGGCTCCATACAGCAGTGCTCAGCAACAACTACAACATGTGTTATCAATGTTGTTTTTCTCCTAAAGCCAAAGCACAACAACACATCAGTCACTACAAAGAAAGTAAACTCCATGCCAAGTGAAACCAGAACGCGTGTTTTTAGAAGCTTACACTGTCTTTTAGTGTAAATTACACAACGTTCCATTCTTAGTTTGAAAATCAATTCAGTAAAAACAATGGACTCAATATATCTCTATTGCATTTCCTAAATTCTTCAATCTGCTTACAAAGATGACATGATATCTTTAAGATTTAAAGATTTTATTTATTGTTTATAAAGAGTATAAGTGAGAAAACTTATCAAATGTAATTGCTAACACGAAAGCTTTATAGCCACCATGGGACAGAGCCAGTAATGTTTCTACCTCTCCTATGCAACTTTCCTTTAGCTGGTAAACCTGTTTTTTTTTTTTACCTGGTAAACCAGGTTTCAAGTAAGCTCAATTCATCAAAAATATGTGGCCTCGTTCCTTAGAATACCAGCTGACTAGAATTTGTTGTTTTTGTCTGCAGATCTTTCTTACAGAAAGACTTAAAAGAGGTATGCCTTTGTCTTGCCCAAGAATTAATACCAACTCTTCAGCCTAGAGCTATCAATTTTCTATGAAGAATTAGAGTATAATTATATTTCTTCAACTGTCTATAAAGAGCACATAACGAAAATATGCATTATAAGCTAGTTGAAAAATATCTTTAAATCTTACAGTTCTGGAAATTAAAAAAATATAAACACCTACATAGAATTCAGAAGATATATGAACATTCTGTGGAGATTTTCTTGCATATTTAGGTATCACTCTATAGTCATAGTCACACATCAGTCATGTAAGATAATTCCTTTTAAATTTTATTTTTCTTTTTGCCTACTCTTGACTAGCTGCTGCCAGCTTTGTACCTCACTGACTTTTGCTACAAGCTTTTTCTTTTTATATTGAATGTAAAAGTGTTACACATCAGTGAGCCAAAGAAATCTCTTACCCATGTTGAATAATATGTGATTAACATTGCAAACTTTTCTAGAAATACTTGTTCCAGACAGTCTTTAATCCATGGCATCAAATTCCTAGTCCTGAATGTCCTACTTTCAGAAAACACTGATTAGAATCACTGAAAAAGAATATTTCTGGAAGGAGAGTATTCTGGATATTTCAGTAGATTCCAGGCTCATCCTAATAGTAATTCAATACTCACAACACAAGTCTCTAGATCCACACTTGCAGTGTCTCTTTCAAAAAAGGTAAGTTAAGCTGGTTAATAAAACCAAAGAACAACTTCAAATACAGATGCCAATTGTTTAGATATCTTCAAGATGAAACAACTTAATATTTGAAAAGTTAGACTATGATATTACAAATATTACAAGTAAACTCCTGTTTTTGTTGCAGCATTTGAGATTAAGTTTCTTCCCTATGTATCTGGAACTTTGAAGACAAGTTATAGCAATTTCGCAAAACATTACCTCTTACAGAACTGAACTGCTATCTGAATTGGATCTCTTTAAAACTACAACAGTAGGATTCAAACTAGTAATGTATGTAGAGCAATATGAAAATATGTATTTCCTAATAGTACTGCTTTAAGTATTGGATGTAAGTATCTTACCTATTTTTATCTAATTATCTATTTATTTTTTTCCCAACTCGAATTACTCCTTTGGCATCAAGAGAATTGAGAAAACACTTATTAATTCCTTCAATTATTTTCACTTCTTGAAGACTTGTAGATTGGCAGGATAAGAGAGAAGGCAACTGAGAACAACTAAATGGAAATGAGAAAAAAATTAGTCCTTGTTCTGGAAGATGGGTACTATAGCCTGACCTTTCACATATTAGAAAATACATTTTAGCAGTGATACAAAATCTCCAACACTGAAATTTCCCACTGGTAGAGTTCTTAGCACAATATCCTAAGTTGATTTAATGGCCACTGTATGAACTCATTTGGAATCTTACATAAAAAAAAAAATAAAAATAAAAATAAAAATTATTATCAGACTCTTGAGTGATATTAACAGGGAAACATAGCCAACTTTGCACAATACAGGATACTGTTAATACCAAATGAAGATCTATGTTCACTACTGGTTAGTTCTTATAAAATACGGAATATTTTTTCTGATGCTGAATAAAATAACCTAGCTTTCAGCTGAGATAAAGCTTTATCTGCATAGAATTTTCTAGGCATTTAGCATATTTGATGATTACTTTATTTTAATATTTACAGTGAGTATTGTCATACACCTGATATATATGAGATGGTTACTGAAACCTAAACACTGATACAACTGTCAATTGTTATTTGCTAACCTCTACATCAGAAGGTCATGGATGAGAATTTACTCAAGTAAAACATAAGTCTTACTTCAGAATACCTAACTGAAGTAAGGATTTCAGACTACCTCGATCTGGTAACAAAGATAACATACAATTCTTATTGAAATGATTTTAAATGAGTTAGTAGACATATGGCTAACAATAACTTATAAACAAAAGCAAATAAAGAAAATCTTCACAGTTCTCTGTCCATAGTAGTGATTAAGTCCTCGATTTTAGTGTTAGTATCAGCAAGTTTGAAGTGAGCCACATATAAAAGCTTAGAGTTATTGTATTACCATGCACATTTTGCACAGTGTACTGAAATGCATTCAGATTTTTCTATGTTAGTAAACACGTAGAAACCTAAAAATCAATACATGTAAGATAAAAGTAAGAAGTCCATTAACTCCAGTTCAAACCAACATACATTCAGTGATTAAAATATTGAGTTTACATGCATTATCAAAAAGAGCATAAAAACCCTAGTCTAGTCATCATAAATAATGCTATTTGTATATGATACAGTGGGTATTTATTCTTTATGTTTATATTCCAGTGCTAGACTCTAAAGTTCTAGCAGGCTGATGATTTGATCCAAGGTTCACATCCCAGAAATAAATGTAGATTTTAATGTCAACTTCCAAAAAAAAAAAAAAAAGAGGGTGGAGATGTGTGGGGGTATACATAGAAATGTATTTAAAAACCACTTTTTTTCAGAAAATATTCACAAATATCTGAGACATATAAGAGTAGAACTTTATACTGAAACAGCCCAGATACAGTTCAGAATTCAGTATTTAAAGTCTGATGCATTTATCATTATACTAATATCTAAACTGTATTAAAAACTGCATTTCAGTACACTCAATGAGAAATTGGCTACACTATAAGAACACTGATAATAGCGTTATCTCTTCTGTTCCAGTGAATATAAGCTCAAAGAGGAAGCTTCCTCTATTGACAATTCAAAGCCTTCTTGAGTATTCACATTATGACTCTGACACTTGCATGACTGATAAGAGACAAAGTCAGAAAAAGTTTGAAGGTTAGTCTTTTGTCTCCCTCAAAACTAGTATTTTTAATACTATCTAGCAATCCTTTTCTAGCAAAGTCTTTTGAGAAATACACTACCTTTTTAATAGATATTAAAATGCAATTTCTGTATGTTTGAATGTGTCCTATTTCACTTTTTTTAAGCTGGACAAATTAAAATCATCAGGAATAACAGAACCATCTTTTAAACTGAAAGGAGAAATATTTAAATTATTAAATATACACATACACCTATAAACTGAAGTATTTGTTAGTTCTGTTAGAAGAATGAGCTTTTTCCTTTATGTCTATGAAAGAATTTTTATTTCTTGGAGTAATAAATGTTATCCTTTTATAGTTCAGTGTATTACGTTGTTTGCAGTTAAGACAAAGAACAACTACAGTAGCAGCAGTTGTTACAGTCTTTCCTGCTCAAGGACTGGGGATCACTATTTGTCTTTGTGGCATTTGGTAATTAGCCCTTCATCAGCAATTGTGAAGACAAAAGGAAAAAAAAAAATCACCCCAAACAAAACAACAGTCAGAGAACACAAAATATTACTGTCTGCATCACAACCTCAGAGATGCAGAGGAACAGCTCTATAAGAGAAGCCTAACATAGATGATGACTGCAGTAGCTGCTAAGATAAATGTTGACACATCTCAAAGTTACTTCTAGCTGTGCTTTTTATATACACATACATCAGCAAGAAACAGATTTGAGGAACTATTATCAGAGCGTATATGGTAAAATGTAATACATGCCTCGACCCAGGAACAAATACAAACCCGTGTTTGGAATATCTCCATGGAACTGTAACCCCCTGCTCATTATCACCCTTCATATCAGAGGAAATACCAATACTTGAAGACGATCATCAATACTGATGCAAGGATGCTTATGTTTAGCTGCTGCAGACTCCCAGGCTATTTCTATGAGCAAGTAGTGCCTATTAATTCTCAGAACCTACTACCCAGTCTACATATTTCAAGTGGTTCTACTTCACAGTAGTTTCTCTCTGGTTCTATGGACTGACAGAAACAGCAGCAGCATGAAGTGTATTGAGTGAACTCCTGGAGTCCACCTTTTATCTTCATTCAAAAGAAACACATTCCATGAATCCTGTGTAATGACAACCAAATCACAGAATCATGATTCAAGCATATAAGGTGGAAATTAAAGTGATTAAGGTGTTCTAATGAGCACTCCTTATCTGAACTAAGTACTGATGCAGAAAAATGGAAGTGAGAAAGTAATACGCTGAGCTTCAGAAGAACATTTCGGGCCCTGGCGAAAGAAAAAAATTTCAACATTTCAGCAGATAACACAGGCTCCATTCATGGTGGGGGATTTCACAAAGCTGAGCAACTGAAAAGCATTTAGAAAAAGAACTCCTTATTATAGACATAAGACTAATTTTCTACATAGCAATTGAAATAGATAGTAATAACAGCAGGCATCACTGATATGTATGTGACAACTGGCAGATCATATATTCAGTCAGTTCAACAAGAAGCAATACTGTTTTGAATACAGTTTTCATAAGAGAAAAGGTATTGTGAAGTCACAGGAAGTATAAAAATTGCAGAGAAAATGATCCATATTAATTCAACAAATTAGACTAAAAGATGAGCAATAACACGATTTCATTTTTCAAAAGAGGTCAAGTGAAATGAAAAATTAATGAGGGAAGTCATCTATACTAGAAAATTTGGTGAACTGAGTGAACCACAAACTAGCAGTTATAGTTCCTCAAGCTACCTTGGATCTATATCCATTTAAATAAATAAATAGATAGATAAATAAATAAATAGATGAAAAGATGATTCAGGAATGGATTCCAGACCTTGCTAATTAATTATCCCTAAAGGAATAACAATGAACCTTAGGGAGAGTGGAAAAGAGACTGATTAGCAAATACATTTCTCTCCTAAAAGGTCAGAAAGCTTGCAGATAAAATGAAAGTTGTCAAGAAGTAAGCTGAGGTAACTCTGCAAATGTAATGAAAAGAGATAGCTCATATTTCAACAACTGAAACAGAGAGCAAGCAAAGAAGTTAATATGCAGTAAAAAGTGATAATGACCTAATTTCTGAATTCCATTTTCAGCAATGCTACTGATGAATAAAAGGCAGCCAGAGATTTGCAGCTGACAAAATACATCTATGCCATGCTAATGGCAAACTCAAAAAGCCTAATTTCAAATGTAGTACCTTAAATCCTAAAAGTAATGTTATTTTTTTATATATTTATCCTGAGTCTATCAGAGTATGCTAGTGTGTATCTATGGATTAGCATACATGGAAAACACATGGATTCGGAAAGCAAATTTAGCTTTCATTAACTTGAAATGCTTTTGGATGAATCTGAAATAGAGAACAATTAAATGTATGAAGGAACATGAAAAATGAGATGAAGTAATTATTCCAAAGAAATTGAGACCATATTCAG